TTTTAGTAGATACAGGGTTTCGAGTGTTACCCAGTATGGTCTCGATCTTTTGACCTTGTGATCTGCCCACCTCGGCCTCCCAAAGTGCTGGGTTTCCAGGCATGAGCCACCGTGCTCCGCCTTTTTTTCTTTAGATGGAGTCTCGCTCTGTTGCCCAGGCTGGAGTACAGTGGCGACATCTCGGCTCACTGCAGCCTTTGCCCCCACAGGTTCAAGCTATTCTTGTGCCTCAGTCTCCTGAGTAGCTGGGACCACAGACGAACGCCACCACACCCGGATAATTTTTGTACTTTTAGTAGACACGAGATTTCACTACGTTAGCCAGGCTCCTGACCTCAAGTGATCCACCTGCCTCGAAAAATGCTGGGATTATGGCATGAGCCACCAGGGTCGGCCCTTTTTTCATTTTTTTGAGACGAGGTGTCACTCCATCACCCAGACTGGAATGCAGTAGCACAGTTACAGCTCACTGCAGCCTTGACCTCCCAGGCTCAAGCGATCCTCCCATCTCAGCTAGGATTACAGGCATGAGCCACAGTGCCTGGCAATTTTCTAATTTTGTAGAGACAGCATTTAGCAATGTTGCCTAAATCTTGAATTCCTGGTCTCAAGCAATTCTCCAGCCTCGGCCTTCCAAAGTGGTAAGATTCTAGGTGTAAGCCACTGCACTTGGCCTTTAATATATTTGATCTCTCCAAAGCCTCCAAAATTTTCGTTAGTTCTTCAGAAGTATCTGGGCTCAGTCCACCCATGAAAACCTTTTGGGGGGTTCTTTCCCTTTTAAAGCGTTGGCTCTTTGCGGCGGGGGTGGGAGGTGGTCCTATTAATTTGCCATACAACTTGTGTTCTTTCAGTTCCAAGGTCTTAACAGCAGTAGCAGCATTTTCCAAAAGCACAAATACAAATCCCCCTGATTTTCCAGTCACCGTTTTAACTGTGCAGTCTGCAACTTCCCTAAGTCAAGACAAATACTCAGATCTTTTTGCTTGCAACATTGTACCATCGTCCTGCAGATTCTTGCTCGAGATGATCTTGGATCCCTGTGCGATTTCCTCTGCATTGCTTGCGGTACTCGGGTCCTTGCTGGCGGAGGAGCTGTGGGCAGGAGGGTGCTCGTGCATACTCAAGGCCAGGCAGCAGCGTATCTATGGAGTTGGATTTCAAATGGTGATGGAAGAGAGTCGTTATAATTTTACGGCACCACTGTGGTATATTCGGTGCGGTCCGTTGTTAACTGAAATGCTATTACTCTCCGTGCGGGTAGCTTTCTGAAGCCCTTTGGGGGTAGCACGCTAAGGTCCTAGCTCCCCGAGACCCTGGCGGGACTGACTGTTATAACCTCGGCAACAAGTGATGCAGTGTCCGCTGTAGAGCAGATTGCTGGGGCCCCTGGGGGTTCCCACTGCGTAGCTGATACTCGGCTCCTGCTTTTCTTCTGTGTTCATAGTGGTTTCCTGGCAGCTCAGGTATGCATTATCTCACCAGTGAGCTTTTCCATATGGATGTTCTTGCGTTTTTTCCGTTTTGCTCCACTGCATTGCTGCAGATTTTCAATGGGTCCCTGAGCATTTTGGTCTATTCCGGCTTGTGAATATCTGTCTGTATTTGATTTGGGTGTGGCTAGGGGGAGGGAGAAATGAAGGCTGGTATCTCCTACTCCACCATCTTGGTGATGTCACTCTACTCTCCTGTGTTTTTTCAGAATAACCCAGCACCACTTCCCCAACTAAAGCCATTAAGATAATTTCTGGCAGGGCGTGGTGGTTCACACTTGTAACCCCAGCACTTTGGGAAGCCAAGGAGGGCGGATCACTTGAGGTCAGGAGTTCAAGACCAGGCTGGCCAACAGGGTGAAGCTCCGTCGCTACCAAAAAATTTTAAAAATTTTGCCGGGCGCGGTGGCTCAAGCTTGTAATCCCAGCACTTTGGGAGGCCAAGGCGGGCAGATCACGAGGTCAAGAGATCGAGACCATCCTGGTCAACATGGTGAAACCCCGTTTCTACTAAAAATACAAAAAATTAGCTGGGCATGGTGGCGCATGCCTGTAATCCCAGCTACTCAGGAGGCTGAGGCAGGAGAATTGCCTGAACCCAGGAGGCGGAGGTTGCGGTGAGCCGAGATCGCGCCATTGCACTCCAGCCTGGGTAACAAGAGTGAAACTCCGTCTCACAAAAAAAAAAAAAAAAAAAAAATTGGCTGGGCACAGTTGCATGTGCCCATAGTCTCAGCTACTTGGGAGGCTGAGACACAAGAATAGCTTGAACCCGGGAGGTGGAGGTTGCAGTGAGTCGAGATTGTGCCACTACACACCAGCCTGGGAGACAGAGCGAGACTCTGTCTGAAATAAATGAATTAAATAAAGCCATTAAGATAATTCCTCAACACCAGTAAGTAGTCAGGCATTCATATTTGTCCTTTATTGTTGTGGGTTTTTTTTTTTTTTTTTTTTTTTTGAGAAAGAATCTCGCTCTGTCACCAGTTTGGAGTGCAGTGGCAGGATCCTGTCTCAACTGCAACTTCCACCTCCTGGGTTCATGCGATTCTCCTACCTCAGTCTCTTGAGTAGCTGGGACTAGGCATGTGCCACCACGCCCAGCTAATTTTTGTATTTTGGGTTTCACCATGTTGGCCAGGACAGTCTCGATCTCCTTACCTCATGATCCGCCGCCTAGGCCTCCCGAAGTGCTGGGATTACAGGCACAAGCTACCACACCTGTCCCCTTATTCTGGTTTTCCTTTTCTTGGTTGGTTTGCATCAGCACTCTCCAGGGTGTGGCTGCTCTCACCTGTGTCTCCCTCCCCCCTTCCAATCTCCCCACCTGTCCTCCCTGAGACAATAAACCTGGGTCTGTCTCCGGAAGGATATGAGCCCAGATCTGTGGTAGCTGGCTCACTGGGGCTGTCAGGATGTGTTTGCATTTGAAAGTACAGATAGGGCCCCAGGAATGTCTCGGTTTCTGTGCCCGGACCCAAGTGCACCGACAGCTCCTCAGAGAGGAACTAAGCATGCCCCGTCTCCACGCACACACAGGCCACTCACTCTTCCCTCCACGCAACCCCTCTGCTGCCCTGAATAGTCACAGAAGCTGAGGCAGGTGACATAGGGAGGAGCCTCACTGTCCAGAGTGGCCCCCAGCAGCCAGGTACCGGGAAGAGGCACAAACGATTTCTAAAGTCCTATCTTTTACTCCTGCAGATGGTGGCTCCTCTGGTGACGATTTCAGAATTCCACATTTTTTTTTTTTTTTGAGACGGAGTTTCGCTCTTTTTACCCAGGCTGGAGTGCAATGGCGCGATCTCGGCTCACCGCAACCTCCGCCTCCTGGGTTCAGGCAATTCTCCTGCCTCAGCCTCCTGAGTAGCTGGGATTACAGGCACGCGCCACCATGCCCAGCTAACTTTTTGTATTTTTAGTAGAGACGGGGTTTCACCATGTTGACCAGGATGGTCTTGATCTCTTGACCTCGTGATCCACCTGCCTTGGCCTCCCAAAGTGCTGGCATTACAGGCTTGAGCCACCGCGCCCGGCCTCAACATGTTTTACAATCAAAACTAGCAATGGATAAGGAATAAAAATCAATAACCCAGCCAAACATGCCATCCACATACTCCCAATGTGAGAGTAGCAAAATCTTGTGTCTTAACTCCCTTCGGGCCGCCAGCTCCCTCCATCCCTACCTCCTCAGCCTCTAGCCCTGCAATCCCTCCATGCCTGTCCTACCCAGCTGTTAGGACAGCTTCCTTAGGCCCCTGTGCATCCAGGTAGGGTTGGGGCAGCAGAAAGTGGAGACCCACCCAAGACAGGCCTTGACAGTGCATGCTTGATTCCAGGTCTCTTTTCAGGCTTTGTTTGACTCGACACAGTTTCCCCAACAACCTGATTTGCATTGATTAGGCGTCACTGTTTTTCCTTTGATATGACCCCGTTGCAGTTTGCTGAGCCCTTGATGGTAACAGGCTGTGGGCCCTTAGCACCCACATCCTCATTTAAGGCCCAGAGAGCTAAAGCACCTCAGCCAGGGCCACACAGCAAGTGGGGCTGAGCCTGGACACCAAGCCAGACCCCTCTGTTTCAAATTCTTCTTCTCCTTCTTCTTCCTCCTGCTCCTCCTCCTCCTCCTTCTTCCTCCTTTCCCTTCTCTTTCTCCTTGTATCGCTCTTGTGGCCCAGTCTGGAGTGCAATCTTTGCTCGCTGCAACCTCCACCTGCCGGGTTCAAGTGATTCTCTTGCTTCAGCCTCCCGAGTAGCTGGGATTATTAAATTTTTTCATAGTTTTGGTAGAGATGGGGTTTCTCCATGTTGGTCAGGCTAGTCTTGAACTCCTGACCTTAGGTGATCCGCCTGCCTAGGCCTCCCAGTGTGCTGAGATTGTAGGTGTGAGGCAAGGCATCCAGCCGCGGCTTCGAGTTCTTGCTCTTCAACCACAGCTCCGTCTCCTTCCAGAAAGTGGTGACCCTGGTTTGGGGTGGGACAGGCTTAGGAGTGCAGAGGTCATAGGTCACAGGTGGGATGTGAAGCCTGTGTGGTTGCCCACCTTCTCTGGGTCTGTGGGGAAGGGCAGTGCAGCCTCAGGGGACAGGAGCTTGGAACCCTGGCGGGTAACAGTGACCCGAGCTGCAAGGCACAGGTCCCCTGGCTCTATCTAATGCTCTGTTGTCACTGTCCTGAAACTGTCAACGATTTCTGAACAAGGGGACTTGCGTTTCCATTTTGTACAGCAGCCCCTCGAATTCTGTCTCAGGTCCTGGTAAGAGCTCCTTGGGAGTGATTATTTTTTGTAGAAATGAGATCTTGCTATGTTGCCTAGGCTGGTCCCAAAATCCTGGCCTCAAGCGACCCTCGGCATCAGCATCCCAAAGCACAGGCAGAGCAGGCGCATAACGCCTCACACCGCCCTGGGAGAGCCTTTGGCGGTGACCCGTTCCTCTGTCGTTTGGTGATGCGGGGAGGACGGCACCTGACGGGCAGCTGCCCACAGTCCTGTGCTTGCCATTCCAGGCGTCTGAGCTGATCGTGGATGCCGCAGTGGCAGCCCCGGCACCCCCAGAGGAAAGCGAGTGGCTGGAGCCCACCCAGCTCCCGCAGAGTCTGCACACCAGGGCGGAGGCCGAGCCACCCCGCGCCCCTGGCTCGATGGGTGAGTCTGGCTCTTGTGCAGATTAAAGTTTGGAAATGGAGTCTGGGACCTCAACCCAAAGCCACAGACTTGGTTAACGGGTGGAGTTAGGGGCTTCAGTGGTAAACTCCACACTTCCCCCAGAAACCACACACACCTCCCGTGGGGACTGAGGTCTGGGGCCCCTAGAACCGCCATGCACATTGTTCACCCCACAAGAAGGGCCTCAGCCTCCCCACCTGAACGGCAGCCAAGCCAGTCAGACTGAGAGTGTTGGAGCAGAGGGTTACCCAGAGGGCCAGCCAGGTGGAACAAGGGGCCAGTGCTGAGGGATCCGCCCCCAAAACACGTGCCCTCCTATATCGAAGGACAGGACGGAGAGCAGAGGGGCCATATTGAGCAGGTGAAGGACCTAGACTCGGCTCAGTCATTGGGGTTCTCCATGCCCCCGGGGACAAAGGGAGATGCCAAGGCAGTCCCCTCACTACAGGTGACCGGTCTCCCTCACTCTCCACAGGGTCCCGGGCCCGCCTGCCTCTGAAGCCGAGTATCTGGGACGAGCCTGAGGATCTTCTCCCAGGGCCCTCCTCAGACCTGCGGGCAGAAGGGGCTGTGACCTCGGGCCCCAAGGGTCTGAGTGCTCAGAGAATCAGTCCCCGAAAGAAAAACAGGAACGCCAACCAGGGCGGCCGCCAGCAGCCATCCCTCAAGCACACCAAAGGCGGCACCCAAGAGGCTGCTACAGGCGCCTCGGGAGCGCCGCGTGGGCCCCGAAGCGGGCGGCCCTTCCAGTGTGCCGACTGTGGGATGGTCTTCACCTGGGTCACCCACTTTATCGAGCATCAGAAGACCCATCGCGAGGAGGGGCCCTTTCCGTGCTCTGAGTGCGGCAAGGTCTTCCTGCACAGCTCTGTCCTCGCTGAGCACAGCAAGATCCACCTGCTGGAGCCACCCAAGAAGAAAGGCCCCCGGAGCAAGGGCCCCCGGGAATCCGCCCCACCCAGGGATGGGGCCCAGGATCCGGCGGCCCCTCACAGCCCCAAGAGGCCCTTCCAGTGCAGCGTCTGCGGGAAGTCCTTCCCCTGGATGGTCCACCTCATCGACCACCAGAAGCTCCACACGGTTCATGGCCACATGTGAATGGCCAGCCTCGGGCCTCAGCCACCCAGCCTTGAATCCCTGGGGGGCGCCGATGGGCCCCAGAAGGTGGGGTCATCCCCCAGCCCCACCAATCCCTGGCCACCGCTGTTTCACAGAAGATCCTGGACACCTGCTCTGCGGTCTCCACCCGGCATGGGAGGGGGCATCCTAGGGTCTCAGCTGAGAGGCAGCAGTTCCACAGCACAGCGTGGTCAATCCTGCACACTGTGTTTTGCAAGTGGATTGAAGATGAGTTTCAATAGCATCTCATCTTTCAGAAGCCTTGTGAGGGTCTACTTGTGAGTATCTGAACCTGCCGCTGGGTTTTCATTTCACTGTGGATATCCCTGAGACCACGAGGTCGGGAGCCCGCTTGGGCAGCTCCAACTCGAGAGAAGGGTGCAGCTGACCCCAGCTGACCTCCTGTCAGCTCAGCCCCCTTGGAACTTAACAGATAAACAGGGTTTTGTTTTTTTCCTTTTTTTTTTTGTAAAGTACATACATAAAATGTACCATTTCAGTCACTAAAAATGCACAGCTCAGTGGCATTAACTACATTCACAACATTGTGCAACTACCAGCACTATCTCCAAGGACATTTTCGCTTGCCCAGAAAGAGATCACACAGGTGTCAGCACTCATTCGCCCTTTCCCTCCCGGGCCCTGACAACCAGAACCTGCTTTGTCTCTGGATTTCAGGCGTTGTCTTTAGGCAGACCTGCCTATATTTTGTTTGACTTACAGAAGGATTTTTTTTTAGATAGATGCCAATACTTGTTTAAACCATAAAAATCTGGCTTTCTACTCTGCCAGCAAGAACCAGATGGTCTCCAAAGAGTGAGGCCGTCTATGCTGCTTGCCTGGAGCAGAGCAAGGGCAGGCAGCATCGTCACAACCTGCCATCAGCGGGGACCCCGCCTTGGATTCTGCTTCTCATCCGTCCCCAATTCATTGTTGCCGGACACTGGTCCCTTTTCAAGCAAAAGCCTTAAGTTTTTTTCTTTTTCTTTTTCTTCTTCCAACTTCATTTGGTAACACCACGTTGGGCTGACTGTGAATCCACACAGGCAGAGACCTTTTTCCAAGTCGCCTTCTAACTCGAAAGCCTTTGGACCTACCCACGTCACATCCACCTGCTGCTACTTCTCAACCAAGCTGCCCCCACTTTCGGCCTGTCCCTGATGCCCGTCACGGGCTGTGCAGCTCCCACAGACCCTCCACTGCCTTCACTTCATCCTCCCTGCCGCGCTTGCCTTCTCACGCTTGCCTTCACGGAGCTCCCCCAGCCGGGCCTCCGGACCTCGCTTCCCGGCTCCCTCCGGCATCCCCAGCCTTTCCCTGAAGTCCCCACTGGGGGCTCCCGGTTCTATCCCTTGCCTTAATTGCTGGTGGGCTCCAGCTCCCCTCCTGGCGCCTTTTCTCTCATCCTGCAAAGGAGCTTCTTCCACCAAGCTCAGGATGAAGGGTGGGGTCTTGGCCCCCCGCAGTCAGCCTATTACTCTCGGAAGCCCCCTGAGCCTTCCCTCAGGCACAGATCGATCGTCTAGGATGACGGGATGTGTAGGGACAACTCTCCCGAGTGCCCCAACCTGCTGGGAGCCAGAGGCTCATTCCATGCAGTTTCCATCTCACTCTCCACCCCCTGCAGGCACAGTCACGGCTCTGTTCGTTGGTGCCAGAACTGCACAAGAAAGTGGGTGCCACTGCCCACAGGGCATCGGTCAGGCTCCAGCCTTCCTGGGCTGGCCCCAGAGACATCCACCTGCTGTCCTTCAGTCCTCCACTGAGTTTGTCCAAGTAACTCATCTTCCCTTGTGCAAAAACAAAAAACATGCAAACTGCCTCCCCTCTGGGGTTCCCATTCTCCCTAGAGGGACCACCACCTTCCAAGGCCACAGAAGAATTTTTTTTTTCTTTGAGATGGAGTTTCACTCTTGTTGCCAGGCAATCTTGGCTCACGGCAACCTCCGCCTCCCGGGTTCAAGCGATTCTCCTTACAGGCATGCACCACCATGCCTGGCTAATTTTTGTATTTTTAGTAGAAACAGGGTTTCTCCACGTTAGTCAAGCTGGTCTCGAGCTCCTGACCTCAGGTGATCGGCCCACCTTGGCCTCCCAAAGTGCTGGCATCCAGGAAGGATATTTGATTGCCTTGGGCACCCCGCTCCCAACCCCTCTCAGTTTTCTTTTCTCCCCTGCACCATCAGCCCCAGGCTCTGTCCCCATTTCTTGAATGCCTGCAGTTGCCTCTACGCAAACTCTGCCTCCAGCCCCTGTTCCCTCTGCCCATTCCCATCCTGCAGCCAATAGGGTCCCTCTAAAATGTGGACACTGAGGGCAGCTCCAGCATGTCCTTCCTGGCCCCGCTGCCCCCATAGCTCCCTCCACTTGGGTGGAAGCTGGTTTCCTTAACTCACTATGTCCCTGACTGTCTCCACACTGCCTCTCACCCTGGCCTCCTACTGTGCCTGGGACAGTCTCTACTGCCACACTTGGCCATGCCAAGCATACAGCAGGCCCTCCGTAGTGAAGGGATGAGGGAGATAATGAGTGAGCTTGTGGGCTGCAGTTTCCAGCTGGGAAAGCCTCCCTGGAGGGCCACTCTCACCACCTTGGCTGACAGAAGCAAGGACATGGCTTATGCTCTGGAAGACCGGAGTCTCACAGGGCACCTTTCTCCCTGGCCGCGAGGGCCTCTGGGGTCAGAGGAGGGCAGGACATTGCTAGGTTTTGAAGCTCTCAAAATGATTTTTTTAAAGAAAGAAATACATCCAGAGAGCAGTAAGTGTTACAGTATATTTTAAATGTATATATGTTGGACAGATTAACTTTTTAAATCTTAACATAAGGCGTGACACAGTTCCGCTATCTATGCTGTGATTGCAGGATTGCTTGGAAGCTGCACTAATGTGCAGCCCACCTGCTCATGGTTTGGGAAGGGAGTGCTGTCCCAGGCCACACACAGGCAACCAGCAATGTTTCGATTAGCGATTCGGACAGGAAGCAGAGAAGGAGCTGAGAAGGGCCCAGCCAGTGGTTACAAGAGAGGGCAGGAAGTTCGGACCACAGCAAGGACGGCACAGGAGTAGCCTTCAGCTAATCTTTGACTGGTAGAGTATTATTAAAGCCTTCAAAATCCCTACCAGCTTCTAAAAATCAAGAGATTTCACACAGAAATCCCGATCTCTGGGTTCTTTGTGAAATCCAGACCTGGGACGCTGGGCTTACCAGTCCACACGATCCCATTTGGCTGGAGCCAAGCAGCACCTTCCCCTGTAGAAAGAGCCCGCCCCTGCAGGCAGGTACGGTTTAGAAGCCTGGCTGAGAAAAACCAGGATCAGAAGATCCGAGGAAGCTTGGCAGGGCTGTCTGGCCACCATCAGGGCTGACCAGGCTCAGTGTGGCACCACCGACAGCTTCTCACCAGGGCTATCAGACCACTTGGGAAAAATACTTCACCGTGAGTTGTGTGTTCACACCATTTGATCCAGTAAAAGGAAATGGGGGAGGGGGGAAAACAAGAGTATACATTTTGTGAAAGAATACACACAAAAATGTTTTGGTGAATTTGGGTTTGTAAGATAACTGAAAAATGGCATTATATATAAATAGGAAGCCTCTTTACTGCAGTAGAGTGAAAAGCAGGCTGGTTTCAGTGTGACAGTCGCAAATGTGGGGCTTTACAGTTCTTGGAATGTACAGGACACCCTTAAAGAAAAGCCAAGAAACTTGACTTTGCTTTGTTTACATCCGTGCATTATGATTTTGAGCCATTATATCTCTTCATAATTGCCAATCTTTTAGGACTTACGAAATTTAAAGTCTCGACTTATGTGTCAACTAGCCAAATCTTTTCAAGTGTCTGTGTGTAGTATGGTAATTCGTATGGTGTTCTCTGCTGTTGTCAGAGTTGTTTCAGTCAAAGAAAAAAAATGCCTTTGTCTTGCAACTTTTTCTCGGCTTCAAATACAGCACCCAAGGCCAGGCTGATTGGAATTAATCAGTCCTCCCTTAAACGGGCACAAGCACAAGGCTCAGCCCTGGCTTTCCTAGCTCTTCTCGCCTCTCTGCTCCACGGACGCCGGTGAAATGAAGCCCGCTTGAACAGGGAACAGTGAAGTGTCCCACCTCATTTACCGTGTGCTGCAGAACCTGGGCCTGGCGCCTGGCGGGCTTTGGGGACTGTTCAGAAAACGACAATTCATTTCGTGTCAGCGCGGCACACCAGCTTTGACTGTGACGCTGCTGTTCAAATGCACAACTTGGACAATTACCTAACAATGTCTGAGGCCGTCGTTAATCGTGTCTTGCGCGTGATGTTCCTTATAACCGTGTAATAAATACAGGAGAACTCTCCAATGGCAAAGGCTCCTGCGTGCGCGACCTCGGGCGGGGTTTCCAAGCGTGTTTTGAAAAACCACTGGTTTGGCAGCAACGAAGCCGACCGTCGCGTTTCCAACACGAACGCCAGTGCGGTGGCGCCGCGAACTCACGGCGTTCCGGGCGCGACCCGACTCCGCGCGGAGGCCCGGGCTCCCCTCCCGCCCCCTGGGGCCGAGAGGCCGCCAACAGCGTCCGCGAGGCACGACGTGGGCGGCGGCCGGAAACGGCGTCAGGCGCGCGCAGGCGCAGTGTCGGCTGCCGGCGCCGCGGCCTCCTCTCGCGGTCTGGCGGGTGAGCGAGGCCGGCAGGGCGGGCGAGGCGCGGGGGGAGGCGGCGGCCGGGCCGCGGGGCGCGGGGCGCGGGGCTCTTCCTACGGCTCTGCGGCCCTGGGGGCCGAGGTTCCCGCGGCGCGCGTGGGCGCGGCGTCCGTTCCGCCGTCCCGGGGGGGCGGGGCCGACTTGGAGGGACGTCCCCGGTCCGGGCGCAGGGCGGGGCTGGAACCGCTCCGACCGCCCGAGGGAACGCGCGCCCCGCCCCGGATCCCAGCGCGGCCCCGCCCCGGGCATCGGGCCGCCGTCCTTACTGACGGAAGAGGGAAACTGAGGCACGCGGCCAGGACCGCAGCCTCCCGGCCTTGTCACTGCAGCGCTGAGGGGCGGAGTCATCTGCGCGGCAGGCTTGTGTCGGCACCCGCCGGGCCTCAGTTTCCCTCCGGCGGAGAGAACGCCAGGCCTCGCTCACACCCCGCAGCGGGGCTCGGGCAGGGCTCCCCGCGGAGCTCCCCGGGCTTGGGGACCTGAGCGCCGCCTCGGCCTGCCCAGCTGCTCACCTCCCCTTTCCCACGGAGCAGGGGCAGCCGTTCCTGCCCCGAAGCCGGGGCGCGAACCCTGGGCTGTGCGCCTCCAGAGACGCGGTGGGATTCCGAGCCTCCGTGCGCGTGTCCTC